ATTAAAGAGGGCACGTTCTGCATGGAGCACTGGGTGTTATACGCAAACAATGAATCATGGAACACTACATCCAAAACTAATGATGTAATGTATGGAGATTAACATAATAATAAAAAAAGACTGGGGGGGAAAAAAAACTTTACACTCATAACTGGTTCTTTCTAAATCCCCTAAACCCACTTGAGCTCCTTAACTTCCTAACCACACATCTACTTTTGGAATAACAGATGCGGTGGACCGTGTAGCTCATACACAGGCTACCACTAGCCATTCCCACCTCCTGCCTCCACCACACTGCCTGTTTAACCAGCCTCCCTTTCAGCTGGCTGAGGGGGCGTCACAATGGGATCAAGTTCTGGCCCATAAGACATAGCGGAGTCTGCGGGGGGGGGGGGGGGGTGTCCAGGAAAATCTCTGGCTTTCCTGATAAAGAGCAAAACGTGGCAGAGGTGGGCGTGTGATGTCCCTTCTTCCCTTCCTCCGCCCTGCTGTCGGGATGTGGCGGTGAGGGTGAGAGCTGCAGCAGCCATTGTGGCCACAAGAAAAGGCCGGGAACATGCAGCAAACTGCCCCTGACACCACTGTGCCACTGAATCTCTACACCAGCAGCCACTTACCTCCAGGCTTAGTAAGAAGAGTAAGCCCCTATCTGTTCATGCTACTATAAACAGGTTTTACCTTTCCTAAGTAATACACTGTCACCTTTCAGTGAACATACAATTGGGAGGCTTGTTAAAGATTTATTTTAGGGCACCTGGGTGGCTCAGTCGTTAAGCGTCTGCCTTCAGCTCAGGTCATGATCCCAGGGTCCTGGGATTGAGCCCCGCATCAGGCTCCCTGCTCCGCGGAAAGCCTGCTTCTCCCTCTCCCACTTCCCATGCTTGTGTTCCCTCTCTCGCTGTGTCTCTCTCTGTCAAATAAATAAATAAAATCTTTAAAAAAAAAAAAATAATTTATTTTAAAGTATGAGCCTGGGGGGGGGCAGAGGGAGAGAATCGCAAGCAGACTCCCCACTGAGCGCAGAGCCCCCCATGGGGCTCAATCCCACAGCCCTGAGCTGCAATCAAGAGTCAGACACTTAACTGACTGGACCACCCAGGTGCCCCTCATTTTTAAAATAACCGTGGGGTGCTGCTGGCATTTAGAGTCTGAAGTCAGAGATTCTATACACCCTGCAGTGCTTGGGGCAGCTACACCCAAAACGGCAGTAGCATGTGCCCATGAAAAACCCCAGAACAGGTGATTCAGGTCATTTCTAATGGTCTACTATTAACTGGGCTACTGTTATAATTACTTTTACCATAGTTTGACAGTGTGGAGGGAGACCCAGGATTTATAAAGCACAGTCTCTGCCCTCTAGAAGCTAACAGTCTAACAGTGGAGAAAAGACTGGAAGAGAAACAAGGACAAAGCAGCTCAGCATGACCGAGGTCAGAGAGGATTATAACTAGAAGAGAGGGAGCTGATTTCTGGCTGGGATTCAGGGAAGTGATGTCAAAGCTGGGCCATCAAGAAGGAGTAGGATTTGTCAGAGGCAGAGGGAACTGTATGATCTTCAGTGTAGGTGCGAAAGTACAGGGTATGTTCCAGGAACAGCAGGGTTGATGATTAAAGTAGACCAGGGTTTGCATATCACATAGTACAGGGAGAAGACAGCCCAATCAGAACTTTGCACATCTCCATGGAAAGGGCAGAATGAAGAAGCAGAGTGGTCCAAGCAGACAGAGAGGGAGAGCTAAGAGAAGAAACTAAGCAATAGTGCATCTAAAGCCAATGGATAAAAGAATTTTAAAATCTCATCTGTTTCGCAACAGTAAATGCTAATAAAGAAGTTAGGGGAAAAGAGACAGGAATGGTCCTGGCTTTGCACCCAGGAGCTGTTTTGGTAATGTCAGGCTGAGGCAGGAGCTAAGGCTGGAGAACCAGAATGAATGAACGAATGTTGGCCACTCACTTGCTGTCGTATAACACACAATGAAATGCAGAAAGTAGGAAGAGAAGTCTTTCCTAACATGAAAGAGAAAATAATGCATGTGCAGAGGAAAAGGAACCAGAGAAAGACCTACTGAAGATTCTGGAGCCAGTTCTAGAACTATAAAGCAGAAGCACAGTTGGGAGTTAGGCAGATACAAGGCACAGGAGAGAGATTATTGGGGCCGCTTTGACTTTATGCACCTCTGTGTGAGTACAACATACAGTGCGTGGTGAGTGGGAGACGTTCCAGAGGAAAGCAAAGATAAATGTAAAAAATTGTATTATATGTCACAGAAAAATCATCATAAGCCAGAAAATTTCATTATCTAAAGCTTACCTTTTACTTAAGTGTTTCAGTAATTTAAACAGCCTACTCCTGGTTCCATTTCTCCCACGCTAGATGACAGAGCTTGAGGACAGACAGAGGGAAGAGTGGCTATAGGGGTAGCAAGGACCAGGGACTAGAGGCAAGGTCAATTATTGGGGAGATTAAAACATATTTATTTTATTAGGCTGTTTTTCCCATCTGTCCATTTTTAGAGTGTAAGAACAATTTGATCCATATTCAAACTCTACAAGAATTCATTCTTCTAGCTACAAAACACATCTGATTTCATTCCTATATGCAACTGAGTAACTTACCACTGGGTCATACTCCCAAAGTTGGTTGCCTTTTAGGTGGTGGCATTTGAGCATTGTGACTGGGCCATTAAGTTTGGAGACATCCAAGCAAAGGTCATCTGTTCTAATTTCTTTGTTGGCAGTATAAGAGAAAACCTGAAAAAGAGGTACACATATTAAGCTTTAACACTAAAGAAAGCAGCCAATAATCTGTCAGAAAAAAACCCAAGATATGTGATTTTTGAACTTTATTAATGTAGTATTAGCAGAATAAACAACTCAGAAAAGCTACCACCAATTTTGCACAGAGGAAAGAAAAAATGACCTTGAGTTCTCTGTATACAGAGTGTATTATCAAGGGCTGTCATCTGTTTGACTAAAAAGGGCAAAGTAAATCTCATGCACAGCAATGTAAATACAGTTCTCACAAAGGAGCCTTTTACAAATGTTTCACTTAAAAATAATTATTAGATTGAAAGCTCCCTTCTCCTAAAAGATCTCTATTATTGTCTCTTCATAGGTAGGAAAATATTTCCTGAATGACATGAGATAAAAGGGGCAGAACATAAAACAAATCCAAAAATTATTCCTTTTAAAGCTTTACTAAAATACTCACCTGGTTACCTCCCATACCATGACAGTTAAAAATTCCAACTTTTTCATTCTCTTTTCTAGCCATGTTATCTAGACACTGATTTGTTTCCACATTTCTTATCTATGGGGCAATAATGAAAATAGAAGTTAGAGGTAAACTAGACAAACATACATACAGATATGTATGCACATTAAAGTCAACCTAAACTTTCTACTACAAACGTACACACAGTGTAGACGGACAGCAGAATGCTCAGTGGCCTCACTGTGCTATCAATTCCTTCTGGTTTCCCCACATTCCAAGTTCCATCTTGATGACTGTCTTGGAAAGAGAAATAAGAGATGTCCTCTTGTTGGGTAAGATATTTGGTAATCGTCAGGATGTGTAATGACAACTGAGGTTCAACATTATCAGGGACCCTTAAACTAAAAGACTTGATGAAGGAGAAGAATGGAGCTTTTCATCATTGGAGTAGATACTCCTCAACATAAATAGGATCCCAATGTTCTCCTTAATATAGCAGGAAAATAACTACCGAAGGGATGGTTTGGAAATCTGATATAGTACCTCCCTATGAAAGTTGTTTTAGAATGCACCTAAATTATTTGAGAGTAATGATGATTACAGAGGGCATCCAGTAGTTTTCAGTTTTTAAAACAGTGGGTTTGACAAGCAAATGTGGATACCTCAACTTAGGGCCTGGGCAGGGAGAAATGTGTGGAATGACAGCAAGGTAGACAACCTCCTGTGTTGGCTGTTTGTGTTCATGTCTCCAGCACTGTCTGGTAGAACTTTCGTTGACAGTGGAAGTGTTCTGTACTTGCACCATCCAATACTGTAGCTACTAGCCATGTGTGGCTATTGTGTATTATATTTTTTTCTTTTACTTCTTGCTACTGAGCACTACATATGTGGCTAGTGTGACTGAGGAACTGACTTCCAAATTTTATTTTAGTTCATTTAAATATAGCCACGTGTGGCAAGCAGCTACCACACTGGATGTGCAGGATTAGATGCTGACACACAGGATAAAGTCTTCCACAGTTTGAGAGGGACTACTCGTCAATGATGGGAAACAATATACACACATGTTAACGAAGCCGAGTTATCATATCCTTAGCCCTCTGTGAAAGACTCATGGAAGTGCCCATGTCTGGTTCATACTTTGTGGAATTAGGGGATCTAATCTTAAGGGATCTAAATTATTTCAAGGAGGAAAGTTAGCAGGCTAAAGGTCTTTTTTATAGGATTTATTTATGTCTGAATAACACATCTTTCCTTACAGAGCCAGACCAAAACGGTCACAGGTACCATGAACAAATATGAGAATGCCAATGGGTGAGGAAATAGGAAATAGGAAGCTTTCTACTTGGATCATAGCAACATCTGAACTGTGGTGGTCGGGGGAGAAAGGTCTCCACTTCTGAGGTATGTGGAGGCAGGTGGGCAGGAGTGAAAGCTTAGGGTATGGGGACATGCAGACGTGGGCTTCTCTCCTTACTCTAGCATTACTAGCTACGAGACTGTGACCGGTTAGCACTCTAAGACAGTGATTTCCAGAACCATGATCTGAACAAAATTATCCGGCCAAGTGTTGACACATGTACCACTATACAGGGGTTTTGTGATCAAATGTGTCTAAAAATTACCAGGTTAAACAGATTTAAACAGGTTTCTTCACTGAAGGACTTCTCAAAGCCGTTTACTATCCTGTGCCTCTTGGCAGGGTGGGGACTGGTGGTAGAGAAGGACGTAAGATACAAAAAGCAGTATTTCCCAAACATTTCTGGCCCCCAAATCTACTCCCTCCTCCCCCATCCCCTGCCTAACTGAGCACCTTGGGAGGCATTCTTTAGAACACAGTAACTGGGAAAGCTGGCTCTAAGAACCTCAGTTTCTCATCCTTGTACCAGGGGTACCAATCTCTTTCAGGTTTGCTGAGGGCTCTCACTGAGGTAACACACGCTGAAGACTAACAGAAACTGACACAGAGTAGGCCCAGGGTAACGGTCAGGTTTTCTTCCTTATCCACACATCGCGCAACTCTTCAACCGCTTTCTGAAGTAACAACTTAGGTGTACATGGCTATCACTACAATATTATTTTTGACCTTGGAAGTTGAAAATAACTGTGAACACACTCATTCCTGGGAAACAGGCAGGAACCCAGAGGTTTCTTAGTCTTTGCTCAGTCTCCCCCAGAATCTTGGTACCTCCACCAGGTGGAACAACGTGGGCAATTAAAGGATTTTTGGAATCTAGTATAATGGAATCTGGATTCACTTTTCCCCCCTCTCTGCCATAAGAGAAATATTGGTTGGATGTGAGAAAGAATATGGGTATTAATGGTTAAGAGTATAAGCTCTCAAGCCCTACTGCCTATGTTCAAATCATTTTCTCTTCCATTTTGTGGCTGTGACCTGAGGATGTTGTTTAAACCATTTATGTATGCCTCAATTTACTTACTGTCAAGTGGGGATAATAGCACCTGTATCTCACAGTGTTGACATGAGAATAAAATGAGTTAATGTTTGTAAGGCACTCAGACCAGCACCTGACACAGAGTTCATGCTCACTAAATCTTAGGGTTATTAGATCTGCCTAGAGAAGCCATCGGTTAGTCCATAAGACTGGCAAAGCTGTCAAAAGGTCTGACTTATTTGCTTTCTGTGGTTGTTTTTTAGAGTATTTATCTCCTTGATTAACAGTTATTAAATATCACAATGAGACACATTTACTCAGTTCCAGGTGGGACTATGGCTATAGGAGCTATAAGAGTCAGACTTAGTGAAGGCAGAGACTAAATTCATACCTCTCATTCCCCTTTCTACTCTAAAATCCTGTGATTTCAGGCTTCTCTAGACCCTTTGAAGTATGACAAAAGATCCCCAAAAGGCTGAATTCCAATTTTTAGCATAGTAAAGCTCACACAAGTGGAGCTATGATCCCAGCACGAGATCCCCAGCTGCACTAGGGTGGGTGCTTAAGAAGGACCCCAGCCCCAGAAGTTAGAGCTTTAATCTGCATAGGGTGGCCTGGTACTAAGGGCAAACAAGCTTAAGACCATCTGCTTTGTTAAAAAGGCAGTGATAAGCAGGCCACAGACGGTAAAATCTTCTTTCATAGAAAACCAGCTGGCATCAAGAGGCAGGTAAAGAACAAACTTGCCTTGGCAATCATCTACTGTGGGTTAGACAAGTGGCTCTTTAAAAAACGCCTGTATTCTGGCCCAGTGAACAATGCCTAGGTGTTATCCAAAATTGGGTCAGTTCAAGGGGAAAAAACAACTCATTGTCTATTCTAAAGGCAACTTATACTCACAACTATATGGTCAACTAATCTTCGATAGAGCAGGAAAGAATATCCAATGGAAAAAAGACAGTCTCTTCAAAAAATGGTGTTGGGAAAACCGGACCACTTTCTTACACCACACACAAAAATAAATTCAAAATGGATGAAAGACCTAAATGTGAGGCAGGAAACCATCAAAATCCTAGACGAGAACACAGGCAGAAACTTCTCTGACTTTGGTTGTAGCAACTTCTTACTAGACACATTGCCAGGGGCAAGGGAAACAAAAGCAAAAATGAACTTTTGGGACTTCATCAAGATAAAAATCTTCTGCACAGCGAAGGAAACAATCAACACAGCTAAAACGTAGCCTATGGAATTAGAGAAGGTATTTGCAAATGACATATCTGAAAAAGGGTTAGTATCCAAAAATCTATAAAGAACTTATCATATTCAACACCCAAAAAATAATCTAGTTAAGAAATGGGCAGAAGACATGAATAGACACTTTTCCAAAGAAGACATCCAGATGGCTAACAGACACATGAAAAGATGCTCAACATCACTCATCATCAGAGAAATAAAAATCAAAACCACGATGAGATACCACCTCGCACCTGTCAGAATGGCTAAAATTAACACAAGAAACAGGTGTTGGCGAGGATGTGGAGAAAGCGGAACCCTCTTACAACGTTGGTGGCAATGCAAACTGGTGTAGCCACTCTGGAGAACAGTATGGAGGTTCCTCAAAAAGTTAAAAATAGAACTATCTTATGATCCAGCAATTGCACTACCAGGTTATTTACCCAAAAGATACAATGGTCAAACGGTAGCCTGTGCTCATGGGCTGAATGGTTTCATTCCTGACTCACCACTATCTGTCACCAGGGTCCCCTCTGTGAGGTACTTGCTCTCCGACACCCTACTCTACTTTACATCTCTTCCTCATTCCCCAGACATCCCTAACATCAATACCCTCTCTTGACTTTCAAGTGATGATCTTCTGTTCAATAAGGAAACAGAAGAATCAGAGAAGAGCTTCCTCATACTTCCACTACAAACTACCTGCTTCTACCTCAAATCAACAACTGACCTTAACACCTGCCTTCCTATTTCAATGGATGCCATGCCTTCTCCTCCTGTCCCCCACCATGACCATCTACTAAACAGGACTCCTACAATCAACGGCTCTTTTTTAGCAAACAAAAACAACCCTTCCTTTACCTCCACATTCCCCTTTAACTACCAACCATTTCTCTGCTCTCCTTTAAACAAAATTTCTTCCAAGACTTGCCACGCTCATGATCTCCACTTCCTCTTCTTCCCTGAAGCCCTCAGGGATTTTGTCCCTACCAATCTCCATGGGAACCCTTTTGACACAGTGAGATGGAGCCTACTGACTTCTCCCTTGCCACTCCTTGGCCAGTTCTCTGTACTAGTCTTTTCTCAATAGCCAACCACTTCCTCTTTCCTGAAACACATCTTTCACTTAGTCTCTGGGACACCATTCTCTTGGTTCTCCTAATTCAGTGGTCACTCTTTCTAAATCTTTTTGGCTAATTCCCTCTCATTTCATAAATTCTGATTTGTGGAGTTTCCTATGGCTTGGTCCTCAGTCCTCCCCCTTCTTCTCCATCTACACTTGCTCTTCCCAAGGTGATCTCATGCAGTTTTGATATTGATAATCCCTAACTTTAGATCTCCATCCCCAATCTCTCATCCAGACAGCACATTTGTAAATGCAACAACCTACCCTGTATCTCTACCTGGATCCAATTTAACATGTCCCAAACTGCACCGGTGAATCCCCCTGCACCTCTTCCACAAGACTTCCCATCTGTCAACTTCCCTGTCCCAGCTTCTCAGGGGAAAATCTTAACACAGTCTTTCAGTACCCTTTCCTTTCACCAATACTCCAGCTCTACTCCTGTCCTTACACAGTTTTGCTCAATATAGCAATCTGATCCTTTCCCAATAAAGGTTCGTCTCTCTGGCTTCCCGTCCTACTCAGAATAAAACCCAATGTGCTTACTGTGGCCTACCAGCTCTGTGTTATTTGACCCTCGGTATGTCTCGACCTCATCTTCTACTACCCCCCCGACCCCTGTTCACCCCATTCCAGACAACTGGCCTCTGCTGTTTCTGGAACGTGCTAAGTACACTCTTGTCTTAGGGCCTTTGTACTTGTTTTTCCCTGTGCCCGGAATGCTCTTTCCCCAGGAATTCATATGGCTTGCTCATTCACTTCTTTAAATCTCTGCTCAAAAATCAAAACTCCTACAAGGGGCCTTTTTCAACTGCCCCAACATAAACAGCACCAATACTCAAGCCCGCCAGCCATTCTCATTCTCCTTTGCCTTTAGTACTGCCTGCTACACTGTGTACTTTCAAAACCTGGCTTCCTCCACAGACTGTAAGACTCGCAAGAGCAGAGACTTTATTCACTGCTGTATCCCTTGTATGTAAAATAGTATCTATCACATAGCAGATACTCTAATATGGTTGAATGCATGGAAAGACCTAGAAGTGACAGCCTCCTATGGAGGGTCACTTTTCCTGAGCATCAGGAAGATTCCATCCTGGGATGGGGCCTGGGTGTGGCCTTGTCCACACGTATCATTTGCTGCTATGACTTATATTATATATGGTCTTTCAACTTTCCTTGTCAGTTCTTTACAATTTATCTTTACTTCTTTCAGTCAGGTTAATCAACACCAGGACATTATCTTTAGGAATATATGCTTTCAACTAAATGGGTCAGTTTGTTAAGAAGTCTGCTGAAGACACTAAAATATTGAAACAAGAGTGCAACTCTGAAAGGTTAGGGGTGGAGCATTCTAAGAAACTATAACACAATGAAAAATTAACAAGATTTCAAATTAGGAGGTAGACGGTGTTAACTGATAAGAACTTTCTCACACTTGAGGTTATATAATTTTAATATGAAGGGATTCCCTTGTTGGATGTTTAACCTCTACTGTTTTTGATGAATGAGAATATAAATAACCACAAAGAATATATATATTTTACCTCTCCCAAAGAGAAATAGTGACGTGGAATCTGGGAATCAGGATAAATATTCTCTAGGTACCAAGAGAAAGGTTTGCATTGTAGTTTGTGTCTCAGACCAAGTCTTGATGATATATCTCCATAATCTACCTTTGTAACACCTGTTGAAAGAAATTGACTCTGAATTATTTGTGTTCTATTAGGTAACACATTTCTATTTAAATATTGCATTTAATAAGCCAGGCAAATGGGAAAAGTTGTACAATTTTGGTGATGTGTGACTACACAAGTGATATGCCATGAATCCATTGTGCAAATAAAAACCAAGGAAATATATTTATATGTGTTTTAGTCTTTCAAAGAAAAATTAAATTTTTTTTTACAGATTTTGTCAGAGAGAGAGAGCAAGTGAGCGAGAGAGAGCGAGAGAACACATAAGCACAAGCAGAGGGAGAAGCAGGCTCCCCACTGAGCAGGGAGCCCAATGTGGGGCTCGATCCCAGGACGCTGGGATCATGACCTGAGCCACCCAGGAGCCCCGGAAAATTAAATTTATGTGAGAATGAAATACAACGCTAGCAATATTACACACAAATGCAAGTTTTCATAGGATCAGAAAAGTTTCACATATGTGAAGGCAAAAACAAGAATCAAGATCTCTTTTGCCCAAACGTTAAGCACAGCAACTGTTTCCAGTCAGTTTCTCTCACACAAGTCACTGGTGTGTGAACTGCGACTTGACGGTATTGTGGTAATGAAAAACGAGGCTGGAATGCTAACAATGTCAGGAAGACTTATAGCTGATGGAACAAATGTTCCCACAAAACCCTGAATGGCAGAGAAGTTCCTGGACTGAAGTCCCTTGAGGCCTGCTACAGTGCTCTGCACTGGCCCTGAGGGACTCGAATTTTCATATGAACGTTACACATTACAATTAGGTTAAAAATACAACAGAACACTGGTAACACCTGGGCTGACAGTATTGTCTGCAATACTGGCCCGGACAACTTATTGTTAGTAACATAGAAGCACAGCGCGAAGCACTCTGTACACTGTGTGTGATTTCATTTCTTCCTTACGACAACCCTGTGAAGTTGGTGCTTTGCCTCTTCTCAAAGCTCTTTACCCCCTTCTCACCTCTTCTCAGATGCATTAGATCAGGGCCAAGAAAGTTCTAGTCTTGTATTTCTAATGCAAAATGCTAACCTGGAGAAATAATATAGAAGAAATTCTTGAACTCATCCATCCACACTTCTGCAAGTCGTCTGTTATTTTTATTGATAATCTGTCCTGTGCCTCCAGGAAACGTGTAAGGTGTGGCTTTCCGAAACACATGTCCAACATGTGAGCAGGTGACAATCTCCAAAGTTCCTCCACATTGCCAAATCTGAAAACAATAGCAAAGAAGACCATATTAAGACCCTGATGGTTTAAAAAAAAAACACAACTGTTCCCATCTATGGATGTTCATAGTTAAAGTTTCACAGAATCATGACCATACATACAGTGGAGCTCCTGCTATATGATCACAAAACTGGCACTTCCTCAGAAGCATACTTTTCTGTAATTTTTGGTTCTGATCAAACCAGAAGTTGAAGGTTAAATTCAGCAAAGATAGGTTAAAGGCTAAATGCATAAAAGATAGGTGGTCTGGAACAGTATTTTTCTAACTACAGGCCAGGACTCATAAAAAGATCATAAGTTCAGGGCGCCTGGGTGGCTCAGTTGGTTAAGCGACTGCCTTCGGCTCAGGTCATGATCCTGGAGTCCCTGGATCGAGTCCCGCATCGGGCTCCCTGCTCGGCAGGGAGTCTGCTTCTCCCTCTGACCCTCCCCCCATCTCATGTGCTTTCTCTCTCATTCTAATAAATAAATAAAATCTTTAAAAAAAAAAAAAGATCATAAGTTCAAATTTGAATTAAGTTTAAATTTTAATTGTTTTTAAAGGTTTTATTTATTTGAGAGCGAGAGCATGAGCTGGGGGAAGGGCAGAGGGAGAGGGAGAAGCAGACTCCATGCTGAGCATCAGGGAGCCCGACATGGGGCTCGATCCCAGGACCCTGGAATCTGAGCCGAAGGCAGACACACTTAAGCGACTGAGCCACCCAGGGTCTCCAAAGTTTAATTTTAAATTCAAGTTTAATTTTGTGTGTAGTATATGCATGGTTCACAGTCAAAAAACTTTCGGCATGGAGTATTCAGCCAGAGTCCTATCTGTTCCTCCTTTTCCAAACTTGTCATAGACTGTACATTAAACAGAGCCTAGAAATCTCAACTGGATCTCTCACGAGTTATTCACTGGGACAGTGACAGCATACTCTGTCATCTTCATAAGACTAAATACCAAAAAAAGGGTAAAAGAGGGATCGTCAACTTCGGGTTCACATTCTTAGTTTAATAAAATTATCCTTCTGCTCCTTTCAAAATGAATTTTTCTGTAAGTTAAAAATCTGTTATTTACAATTAAAACAGATTTTGGGAAGTTTTGATTTTGTTAAATATTCAGTGTCTCTACTTTAAAGTTCTCCCAGGATCACAAAGTGATACAGCTGGATAGGATTTCCAAGATGAGCTAGAGTCCAAACCTCTCCTTTTATAAGAGAGCAAAATGATCCACTAGGAACAAAGTGAGCTGGTTTAGATTACAATGCAGTTCAATGTGGTTTCCACTATAAGCTACGTGTCTCAGGTTGATTATTTTCAGAAATACACAGTGTCACTTAACATGTTGATTTTAGTGAATGTGAAATGCTTAAGAGTTTTATATAAGGTTGATTGGGTTAAATTAAGTTAGAGCAATTCCAGAATTCTTTTGCCTTTTTCTATTAAAAAATGTAAAGCCGGGGGCACCTGGGTGGCTCAGTGGTTAAGCATCTGCCTTCGGCTCAGGTCATGATCCCAGGGTCCTGGGATCGAGCCCCACATCGAGCCCCACATCGGGCTCCCTGCTCCGCAGGAAGCCTGCTTCTACCTCTCCCACTCCCTCTGCATGTGTTCCCCCTCTCGTCAAATTAAAAAAAAAAAAAAAAATGTAAAGCCAGTAAAGTGACCAGGTTTTATATAAGAGAGAACAATTTTCACAACAGAAGGACAAAGCATATTACAGAAAGTGAAATTATGTTTTTGGCAGTTGAGTACCATAGTAGCATATAGAAACTACATATTGTTTTTTATTTTTAGAGCTTGAATTACTTCCTTGAAAATAACAGAAATTCAAAACAACTAGGGAATCTTGTGTAAGTTTTACAGTTTAACTATTAAGATCACTGATTTGCTTAAAATATAGTTTATGAGGAACCCTTAATAGTAACATGAAATTTTTTATGAACTGAGAGGTTCTGAAGTCTGACGAAACTCCTACTAAATTCAATTTTTATTTAGAGATACAGAATATGAATAATTAAAGCATATCTATATTTAAGGTTAAATAAAAGATTTTTTTCAAAAGGAACTTACCCTAAAGGAAATTTCTAGGTTTTCTCCTCCCCAAATATCCATTCCAGCATCGTATGTTCCAATTTCCTGAAAGTAATCTCTGTCTATTGAAAAAAGGCCTCCTGCCATTGTAGGTGTTCTGAAATTCAATCATAATACTATACTGTTAATTTTAAGAATTTAAAATTTACAATCAGTTTTTGTTTTTAAAAGTAGTTTCATTAACTGTTCATAACTAGAGAATAAATGCTTATCCTCACACTCTTCAGAAACTTTTACAGGGACCTAAGGATTTTCTGTGTTTTTCTGTTACGCTATTTGGTCTTCAGACATGCTGACTGTTGGGCCTACCACCTTCTGTCACAGCTTGTGCCCCGAGAGCCTTCTCTACCCCGTCCCAAGGCCTCTTCTGTTTTCAGTACCTTTCTTGGTCCTCAGGTCCTGACTAACCTTCCATCTGAAACTCCTTAAATGGAAGCTAGTTGTCATAATTCTCTCCATCTGACTGGGTATCTTCCCGTAATTCCTGGCAACTACACTGACTATATTAATTGACTAATTATACTGACTATATAACAAACTAGATTCATGTTAGCAACTCTAACATACCAGGTTCTAAAGTCAGGCAAATATTGCAAAGAGGTAGATTACATAGGATGAAAACAATGAGGTCCTTTTCCTATACCTAACAGAAACCTTTCAGGAAAGGAGAGGAAGTAGAGAATACACTCAGTCACTCTTAAAGGGACTGTCAGCCTGACCAAGAATGGTACGTTCTCTGCAGAAGAGGGGCCCAATTCATCAGAACATGGCCAGGGATGTAGAGTGGGTGCAAAGAGGTGGAATTAAGCAGAGAAATGATAATGAAGGAGGACTGAAATAAATGAATACCAGTCAACCATTTGATTTCCATGAAGGATGAATATGGAGAAAAATGGACTCCAACTAGAAGAAAATAATTAAGTTCCAGGGACAGAGGAGACTATGGTGATCACATTTTAGGATGAACTGTCACCTCTGATCCCATGCCCTAAGAACACATGGATTCCATGCTTTTGGAGGGTGGCACATTTGCCTTTCCTGTACAGTCGTTTCCAAATAAAAGTTAGGACGTACTTTGATTTTAGAAGAGAAAAAAAATGGAAGTCTACTATGTTAGAAGTCAGAGGAAACAGGCCAACACCCAGAATGACCATTTAGTACCAGGGTTTCTTGACCCAGGTTTTGAGAAATCTCTACATTTCCTAGAATTGTATGCTCAATCCTCTGTTTGCACATGTGCGTTTTCCCCCTATTAGAGAAGACTCCTAGCTTTTATCAGATTTTTCAAGGAAGCCCACCGTCTACAAAATGTTTAGGAACTGATTTAGATGGTTATTTGAACTGTCAGCAGAAGAGTGGAAAAGTACCTTTGCTATAGGAAAGGACTCAGCATAGAATTAATGAAATTCTCCTCAGCTTTGCCGGAATGGGACCGAGTGCAAGGGAAAGCAGGCCTGAGAAGCCCGGGAGGGGAGAAAGCTGAGGCTGCCCCAACAAATCCCTGGATGGTGCTGAGACTCATGGTCTCAATTTCAAGGTTCTGAACAGCATCAAGATTCTTATCCCTTTCTGAAAAAAATCTATAGATGACCAAGTATAAAACAGAGGAAAAATCAGAATGTGTTCACGGAAATCTTTTTTTATACTTCTGTCAATTCTGGTTATTTTTATATCTGAGACAAGCTTTTCTAACCTCATCAGTCAGTAACTACCATCCAGATGGTACAAGTCTGAATTTACAAGCTTGTATTTTGGTGCTACGACCCACTTTTAGGTAATATTTTCACATTACACTTACAATTAATTAAGGGATAGTTGAATTTAAAGTTAAATATTATTATCCTTAACAACTGAAAGCATAAATCTGACAGATTTGCAAAATGTTGTTCATATAGGAATGAAAGAACATATGCATGTTACCATCACTTTTCAGGTGCACTAGATTTATGTAAATGAAAAATCCCAATTTTATTAATGGATCAGAAGAGAAAACCCCCTTTAAAATAATAATATATGTGTGGCTCTTAACTACATATATGGTACACAAATACCTCATGTCTCTCAAAATACACTTAGAATTCTTTTGATATAATTCCCAAAGCTCCACTGTTCCCTGTCAATAACATTTTAGGGAAAATGTCTGACAAAGTTACCTGACTGGAAGAGTCCGATCACCTTTCCTTCGGTCCATCTCTCTTTGGGGAACTGGATACCAGCGGAAATTGAGCTTCCAGTTGAAGCCACCATAGGTCATATCAGAGCCTGCCATGTACTCAAAAGTATCATCGCTGATCACATCAATGATAGGACAGACCACTGTTTTCCTAAAATTATAAAAGCAAATGAAAAAATCTTCACTTTCCTTTTTGAGGCATAGCATAACAACTATAACTATATGCTAAGTGCTTTTAAAATAAAAATACATTCTATAATGTTAAAAGCAATGGTGGAAAAATTTCCTGCTATATCCTACTAAGTTAGCATAATTTTTTTTTTAAAGATTTATTTGAGAGAGAGAGGGAGAGGGACCAAGGGAGAGGGACCACAGGAGAGGGAGAGAGAGCCTTAAGCAGACTCTGAGCTGAGCACGATGCCAGGCTCATTCTCACAGCCCAAGCTGAACCCAACAGTCGGATGCTTAACCGACTGGGACACCCAGGCGCCGTTAAGTTAGCATAATTATTTATCACACTCGCAACTGCTGATAACCTTCCATCCCTTTTTCATTCATACTTTTACGTATGTGCCACACGTAAAAACACTCCAAATATTTCTAGCTTTCAAAAATAATACTTTTAAATGATTAAACATTTAATCATTTTAAGGTAATAGTTTTCTTAATAAACTCTTGGATATTTGTATTCCTTACAGTTTTTTGCTACTAAAACTATGAGCACTGGGTGTTATACGCAAGTAATGAATCGCTGAATACTATATCAAAAGCTAATGATGTGCTATATGCTGGCTAACTGAACATAGTAATAAAAAAATAAAATTTTTATTCAAGAAAATAAAAAATAACATACTAAGTGAAAATGTTCACATAACCAGTATTTTGCTTTTAAGATAGGAACGGGTTTACTGCATTAGAAAGAACTTTTTCTGTAACACTAATCTTTACCACTTTCCATATACATATGTATAAGTATGTATTTCTCCCTGCAGCTTCTTTATAATGCTACCAACTTCGGACGCTATTTTCTTGCATTTTTTGCCAATATGATGTTAAATAGTATCTTACAATTTAAAAATTTTTATTTTCTAGTTATTAGAAAGGATATTTTCCAGGGCGCCTGGGTGGCTCAGTCAGTCCTTAAGCCTCTGCCTTCAGCTCAGGGTGTGATCCCAGGGTCTTGGGATCCAGCCCCACATGGGGGTCCCAGCTCCGCGGGAAGCCTGCTTCTCCCTCTCCCACTCCCCCTGCTTGTGTTCCCTCTCTCACTTGTCTCTGTCAAATAAATAAAATCTTTAAAAAAAAGAAAAAAGGATATTTTCCCTGCAGGTTTGTATTTGTTCATACAAATTGTGTGATTCCCCCAGATATTTAAAAATTTTTTCAGTTGGGGGGGGGCACCTGCGTGGCTCAGTTAAGCATCTGCCTTTGGCTCAGGTCATGATCCCAGAGTCCTGGGATCGAGTCCCACATCGGGCTCCTTGCTCAGCAGAGAGCTTGCTTCTCCCTCTCCCTGCCGCTCTGCCTACTTGTGCTCTCTGTCAAATAAATAAATAAAATCTTAAAAAAAAATTTTTTTTCAATTGGTATTGTGATATTTTTTATAAACCTGAAAAAACTTCCACATGACCATAGCTCCTTCCTAGGAAAGGTGCACTACTTACAGCGCCTGGCAGCCACATTCTAGAGTATGTAACATCCGCACCATCCCCATCTTTCCTGTCTTATTTAAGAAATCTTTCCCTACTCCAAAATCATAAAGACAGTCTCCTATGCTGTCTTAAAAAGAACTGTATTTTTGCTTTTCATATTTAAGTCTTTAATCCTTATGGAATTGATTTTGGTATGATATACAGTAAGTGTCCAACTTCATTTATTTTCCTTATAGATAACCAATTATTCCAGCACTACTTGATGGTCTTTTCTTCCTCTGCTGTAATTATCAATGCCTTCTCTGTCATAAGTCAAGTTTCCATATAAACATGGGATGGTTTCTAGCATTACTGTTTCACTAGTCTGTTTGTGAATTCCTGCATCAATAGGTCACTGCCACAATTAAGATAGCCTCACAATAAATCTTGGTATCTGGTAGTGCCAACCCTGTTGTACATGACTCTTGTTCAAGGGTATCTTAGCTATTTTTTTAAAAAAATATGCATTTCTACATAACAGAATCAGCCAGTTCCTCCAAGAACATTCTGTTGAGATTCCAACTGGAAATGCACTGAATTTATAGATCAATGTGGGGAGAACTGTTATTTTTACTTTTCTGTCCATGAATATTATCCTCCTCTCTCCTTAGATTATCTTCTAGTAAATTTCAAGTGTTCTATTTTATACATTTTTTAAAAATATTATTTATTTCAGAGAGCCTGTGAGCACAGGGGTGGGAGGGCAGAGGGAGAGGGGCAAGCAGACTCCCCACTGAGCATAGAGCCCGATGCGGGGATCAATCCCCGAACTCTGAGATCATGACCTAAGCCAAAGTCAGACACCCAACCGACTTAGCCACCCAGGTGCCCCATGCATATTTTGTTAAAATTACAGCTTTTGATTTCCATTGCTATTATAAATGGGATCATTTCTTTTTTTCTTTTTAATTACATTTTCTAACTATTCCTTGCTGGTGTGGAGAAGGCTTTTCTATAGAGATCTTATATCTGGCAACACTGCTAAATTATTATCTCTACTGTTTTGTGTAAGATTTTTTTTCTTCCATTAAGAACACATCATCTGCAATTGACAGCACTTTTTTTCCTTTCTAACCCTTATACCCTTTATTTCTTGTGTTACTGTAAAACTTAAGGCTTCTAATAATACTAACAGTAGTAATTCAGGGCATCATAAGGATGTTCTGTATCTTTTAGAAAATATTTCAGGGGGGGGTGCTGGTAGCTTAATCAGTAGCTTAAGCGTTTGACTCCTGATTTCAGATCAGGCTGTGATCTCAGGATTATGAGATCGAGCCTTGTATCAGGCGCCACGCATGGAGCCTGCTTAAGATTCTCTCTCCCTCTCACCTGCATGTACTCTTTCTCTCTCAAAAAAAAAAAAAAAATCAACCTTTCTCTATTTATATGATGTTTGCTAGCTAAGGCTTTTTTATTTTTATTTTTTAGGATTTTATTTATTTGACAGAGACACAGCGAGAGAGGGAACACAAGCAGGGGGAGTGGGAGAGGGAGAAGCAGGCTTCCTGCGGAGCAGGGAGCCCGATGTGGGGCTCGATCCCAGGACCCTGGGACCATGACCCGAGCCGAAGGCAGATGCTAAGTCTTTTTTAAAAAGACATCCTTATTCAGATTAGTAAATTTCCATTCTGTAATAGTTTACTAAGTATTTTTTTTTTAATTTTATTACGTTAATCACCATACATCATTAGTTTTTGATGTAGTGTTCCATGATTCATTGTTTGTGTATAACACTGAGTACTTTTAATCATAAATGGATGTTCATTTTAATCACAAGTGAACATGTTTTTTATCTATTGAAGTGATGACTGATTTTTAATGATGGGGTTTTAATCATAGTTTTAGAAATGTTAATGAGGATGTATTATGTGAACAGGTGTTATATTATTAAACTAAACCAATTAGTCATATGTTCTTTTACATATTTTTCACATAAAAATAAAAATATACTGGGGCACCTGGGTGGCTTCAGTCAGTTAAGCGTCTACCTTTGGCTCAGGTCATGATCCAAAGTCCCGGGATCGAGCCCCACATCGGGCATCGGGCCCCCTGCTCATCCAGGAGTCTGCTTCTCCCTCTCCTGCTGCTTCCCCTGCTAGTGCTCACGTTTGCTCTTTTGCTTGCTCTCACCCTCTCTCAAATAAATACATAAAATCTTAAAATATATATACATACAATATGTAAAATATATATATATTATATACTTATTGTTTCCTCCCAGTGGACTCAATTTTCTGGTATTATGAGATTTTTTGTGTTAGTGTTCATGAGTGGGTTTGGGTAATTTTCCATGTATTTCTTTTCTGGCTTTGATATCAAAGTTCTATTGGTCTCATAAAGAGCTGATTTGGCTTCCCTCCTTTTCTATACTGTTTAACAAATTCTTAGGGAAGATTTGTTTCCCTATTACCACCCCATTGCAAGGTTGAAACAGGCAAGTTTTCTTTGGTGTGGTAGGATTTATTTCTCATTCTCACTCACACGGAGGTATAAGATCCTAACTTTACACAGGTGTTTGCTATTGATTTTCCAGCTGCAGGCAGGGCCTAGACCCGGTCTCCTATCTTCCCGTCCATTTGTCTATCAAGGGAGAGAGGCTCTGTGTCCTCTAACTTTGGCAGAAACTCTCCAAGTGAGAGCTGGTTTTAGTGTTTGAACCACTCACTTGTCCCACTTTGTTTTGACGTTTGCAAAACTTTGGACTTCAGTGCCAGCACAGCGATGCATTTAAAAATGTGTTATACAATTTATCCAGCATTTAAGCTCTTTCAGTTGGAAACGTTACTCAGGACACCTAATCTACCATACAGCCCAAACCGGAAATTGTGGTTGTCATTTTAGTCAATCCCCCCTTTCGTTTCTGCCATTTCTTCACACTGCTGCTTTCTCTCCCTGGGTCCAGACTCCTGCTTATTAGTGGTCTTATGCAAGCCAGGATTTCCCAAATCAGTCATGTACTACTCATAGAAAACAATTTACAGAGATATTCTCTTCCTTCTTCAGGCAGTGTTCTCCTTCCTAAAGCTGCTGTACCTTCTCATTGCCCCAATGCTCGTTTTCCCCATTTATTCATCTTTGAAAGGGCGAGATGTAGTCCCAGTATTTGCTAAAAAACAAAACAGATGCAGTGGCTTTTGCCATGCTTCACTCAACCAGCACAAGTTTATCTTGCTAAAATCTAAACCTGAATGTTAAGTTGGCACAGACAGCCTCTAGTTCAAACTGCAATGACAAGAAGAAATTCAACTAATGTTAAGTCTAGCAGATGGATGTTAGCTTCTCTCCAGATACTCAAGAACTATACCAGAGACCAGCAGCAGGTAATTCTCTGAAAAATGCATGCATTGCTCCTACTGCTCTTCCTGTATCATCAGAGATTAGAGTGCTTTTCCATATACAATGAAGCACTTTAAGATGCACTGTGTATCTCCCCACTCCCTTCTTCTTGCCATGCAACAAGCTGAGGGCTAGAGTTCCAGTAAGGAAAGAGACAGGGATGAGATGACTTGCCTGCCCCAGTCTTAGCCTTAGACAGCAGGGACAACAGAGGGTTTTATCCTACCTTTCCTGGGGTCATTGTCTTCTGTTTTGCTCCCATTTAGTAAACGGAGCATAAGGTATACATCTGAACGACATGCTTCCTAATCCAGCCTCACCAACAAGACTACAAACATTTCTTCACGGTTGTCTTCCCTTTTAGTTTAGAGAGTTCTTCGTGGGTATTTTAAAGGAAACTTCAGAGGAAATTATTTTTGCATTTATATATTCAGAATTTTTCAGCTTATCACACGATTTATGACAAACACACTGAAAACAAATTTATGGACTTCAGAAAATTACCTGTCATGTTTGATCCTTGCTAAGAGAGGCTCCAGCCATCCCACTGTACATTCACAGTGAGCATCTAAGAAGGTGATCACTTGGCCTTTAGACACAGCAGCTCCTTTTAATCTAGCTCTGATCAATCCAGAACGCTGTTCCATTCGAATTACATGAACTGGTACTTTTAATTTTTTCACGTAACTCTCTAGAGGTCTTTTCAAAAAGTCTGAAAAATTCACAAAACAAAGCAAAAAATAACATGAAAAGACTGACCTGGTGCTACCCAGATGTAAAGCAATTCTGATGTGCAATATTCATTCACCACCTATTTACTGAGCACTTTTAGTGAAGCTCCCTGACTCACAAACCCATTTCACTACAGGGAGCCTTTTTATCTCCTGAGAGCATGTCCTAGAGTTGCCTCTACATTACAAGAAGAATTAGGAGAAAGCCTTTGGGCTCAGGCTCAGTCAAAGACAGACATGTCACCATAGTTCCCTAAGCAACTCTGTCAGCTCACTTCTTTTTCTAATCATGCTTAAGGATCAGGAGTAGAAAGAAAGTAGTTCAAGAGCATTAAATCCAGACCTCAATAGAGAGAAGAAACAATATGCAACAGCTGTTAGAATTCAGACAATTGCGGGATTTCTTCAAAATCCAACCCTAAACCAACTGCCTTATTGACTACCACAGTCTCTGACCATGTATTTCTTCTATCAGGAGGCAGGGAGTGAGGTCAAGCTCAGTAGGGAAATGCTGGACCAAAGAGAGTTCCTTAGCAGACAAGAAGGTCTAAGTCACAAAAGTCTCAAGAGGGAAGCGCAATTGAAGGAAAAGGGGGAAAAAGGAAAGGGAGAGGAAGTGGTTGCGTGAAACCAGTGGTTGCGTGAAATCCTGGATTGTTCAGATAGAGGTTATGCCTCTAAGCCAAGGAAGTCTTGCCTCCAAAGTACATATCTGACTTTAAAAACCAGGAAAGGGGGCGCCTGGGTGGCTCAGTCATTAAGCGTCTGCCTTCGGCTCAGGTCATGATCCCAGGGTCCTGGGATCGAGCCCTGCATCGGGCTCCCTGCTCCGCAGGAAGCCTGCTTCTCCCTCTCCCACTCTCCCTGCTTGTGTTCCCTCTCTCACTGTGTCTCTCTCTGTCAAATAAACAAAATCTTAAAAAAAAAAAATCTTTAAAAAGCAGGAAAGGCTCAGCTTCCTCAAAGCAAAGAGAAAGAATTTTTCAGCTCAGATTAATTTGTGGAATTTCTGCTAGAGAAGCTATTGAGGGTGGTCTGGTCAAATGTCCTTCCAACTAATTCCAACAGGATAGATTTTCCTCCTCTTTAGGGGAGGAAAAACTTGAGAACTGCTGGGACTCCTAAAACTGTCCCATATAACTCTTGTAAGGGGAAGGTCCCAGAGAGCACGGTGTTATGTATTAAGGGGCTCCTTAAATACTAACCATGGGAATCCAAATGGCTTCCTATGAAGCACAGAGAGAAAGACAAATAGGACTGACATGGTTCTTGCCCGCTTGAACTGGTGAGACCAGAATGACTTAATAATGAAATAATCAGGATATGAAAATTTGAAAGAGAAAGGTCTATGGACCCCACCATACCAGAATACTGATTGTTTCCAGTTCTGCTAATGTATTTCCTAATTAATTTGGGCTAAAAACAGTATCTGTAAAATATCTGGAGTAGAACTCCTACTGGGTCACCACTGTGATTTTATGAACCAAATCTTAGGGTCAGAGAGATATAACTCCATTCTGAATAAAAAGGTGAGGGGAATGCCAATCCCGGAGAAGAGCAAGATTTTGCATAGTAGCTATCATTTTCTGTCTGTTTTGCACAATGCCAGGCTCTTTACCTACTCTATATCATTTAATCCTGACAACGGCAATGCTATGAGACTGTCATTACACATATTTTAGACACAGAAATCCAAGGCTCAGAATCTAAAATGAACTGATCAAAGTGACACAGCTTGTTAAGGGGTGGATCCAAGATTCAAACCCAGGTCTGCCTGACTTCAAAGCTCATCTTTTCATCCACAACAAGAAATCCTAGAAGGGAACTAGAGAGAAAACAATTCAGGAGCATGGAATCACCTGAGCTGACACAAATTTAAATTACTTTATATCCAGAGTTTGATGGACTCCCGTGTGACAGGGTGTGGGATATATTCTAGTGCTTCAGACTGGTTGAGGCTGGGTGTGTCATATGCAAGATGTCTCCCAATAAGCTTTCCCAAAAATATCAGACAGCTTAAAGTCTTCTTAAGAATCAAAGCAATCTAATTCCCAAGTCCCACGTCTCTGAAAGTTAAAATACTCTGTCCTGTCTATAAATAAAATGAAAACTGCATGATTCTCTGGTCTGGCAGCTCAAAAAAGTTGCCATTCCACAAATTTTCTTGGCATCTTTGTCCCACATCTTTGTGGCCTTCATGCAATAAGGCTAAGAAATAGGTGTCTTCCTAACAAAGGATATAGAATTATGACCCAGGGCTAATTCTACAAAAATGAAGCCACGGGGGGTTAAGTGATTATGGGTAAAAGTTACTATGTCCTCTAAAAATAAGGGAGAATCTTGTTTATCAGAGTATCTTTATAGCTATTAGCCTATAAATGGATCCCTAGGCATCTCTCCATCAGGGAATGTGAGGCTGCCAGAGTGTGTGTCAGGGAAAATTTCACTGCTTACAGCAACATCTGAGAAATCTTAGCCAGAACTCTAAAGAGCAGCTGAAAGAACAAGTAATTTAGAGTCTAAAAAATCTGACTCCTAATCCCTACTAAATAAGAATCTCTGCTTCCTTTTGTGACATAGATGAGAAAACAACAATCATCTCAGATTAGGGCCACTGAATCAGTTCTAAGTCTTAAGATAACCTTCTGAGATGACAATTACATAACTTCTGACATGAAGTAGGGATTCATCCAGACTGTCTTCATTTTAGACCCTGTAACAGTGAAGTTATGAGACGTGACGTACGTAGCAGTTAAGAGGTCAAGCCCTAGGTTTATGCTAAGCCTCATCAGTAAAACAGGGATGATTATAGCACCTACTTCATACGTAATTAATGGAGCTGCTGACAACTCAGCAGTCAACTGGGAAATCGGGTAGCCTGAGGCCATAAGCAAACCAGGCATGCTAATGTGACCTAATTAGAAGTCTGCACAGACAAGAAGTAAAGGCAAGAATTAACTGACTGGTAGATTACGCTTTCATTCACTCATTAAATTCTGTACTGTTTATGCAGTTAAGTGCTGTGGGCACAGAGGAAAGGGTGGTGAGCACATAGCCCTGATGGAGTGTAGAGTCTAGCAGGGGAGATGGTCATTGGACAGAGAAATAGTTAAAACTCTGATGAGAGCCATGGAGTGTAGTGTTCCAAAACATGTTCAGAGGGACATGACCTGGTCTCGGGAGTTCAAGGAAGGCCTCTCTAAATATATCTTGATTCTGAGTAAACACGTGAGGTGAACTGGGGGGATGGGGTGGGCAGGGGATGGTTTGGGATGTTAGGAGAGATGCCGGTGGAGGCTGGGTTATACAGGCCTCCGAGGAACGAGGTTAGACAGAAGTGCCAAGATGAGAGTGGCGTGTTTAAAAGATCCCAGTGCGTGCAGCATGGGAAACAGAGGGGGAGGGGGAGGAGACCAGGGCAGGGAGACCAGACCAGTAGTCTGTTTCAGTAGCCTAGGTGAGAAGTGAGGGTGCCTTGCCTGTGTCTCATGAGTAAGAAAGGCAAACTTAAAAGAGTTACATAAAAACAGAGCTTGCTCTGGGTTCCGGGACCCAACAGTTACCACCCAAACAAGAGAGCCAAAGAAAATTACACTAGAGAATTCTCAGTCTGGTTAGAAGGACTACAGTTATAACCACAACAACACAATACCTAGTGGTTCCCAACTATCTGAAATCGTGAACCACACACCTGAGGCTTTCCAGGCAGGAAGATGAAGGAGAACCAGACTCCTGACCGGGAGCTCTGGGGTAGGACTCTGGGGCCCTGCTTAGTGACCGAGAGCTGCAAGTGGAGCCATGAAGTAGACCTCTGCCCACGTTTCTCTTATAGATTTGTACAGGCAGGGTGATTAAGGGCCCACATGAGGAAGGGAAAATATAATTGGTATATGTGACTTTGTCAGGTTAGAGCTGTGGGCACATGTGTCTTTGATTAGGTCACGTCCTACAAAAACGTGCTCTTACACACAGCCCTCCCAGCACACAACAGAATATCAGAGAACACAAAGGAGGAAATGGAAAAATAATACATTTCTTCCGAGGAAAGACAGCTCTCCTTAAGTAATATTTAATTTAGCAAATATCAACATATAAGTAAAACAAACACTAGTCACTTGCAGACTTAATGTTTGTATATATTCCTAATTATAAACTTAAGCTAATTTTCTTAAAGAGGGATTAATTAACTCCTAGCAAACAATTATCCACACAAGGGTTTACACTTCTATTGTCAACAATAACTCTTTAAGTGTGCTATTCTTAATTTCTAACAGCTCACTCATTTTGACATTAATTACATTATATACTATTATTTAAATGCTTTGTGTGTTTACAAATGGTCATCTTAATCACATTAAGGAGGTAAGCTATATTATTTTTTGTTTGTACTTCTACAATCTGGCACAATGGTGAGATTTAAACTATTATTAACGTGCAAATTACTTCCCATAATTAAGACATGAAGTGATTAACTGTGATTAAATTTACATACTTAGTATAGTCATGGAAGGAGAAGGTAAAATACTTAAACCATTTTAGTAAATGCAGGGAGAGATTAGGCAAGAAAGCTGAAGTAGCAAAAGAGCTTGAAATGGTCAGGAAGTCTAAGGCTGGTCAAGGAAGGAAGGAAGAGCCATTTTCTGTAGTTCTTCCAAATTTTTCTCATGGGAGCACAGGAATATCGGGGGAACGAACACAAGACACCAATGATCCTCACCAGCGCTGTGGAAAAAAAAAAAAAAGCCTGCAAAATGCTAGGTATGTCTGAGTTTAACAGGTTTCTCTACAGATGGGACTTGGCAGAGCCTTTTCTACATTACCCCATGGTGTAAAATCTCCATGAAGGATTCAAAATAAATAATGTTAGCTCAAGGTACTTTTAATTAATGTAACTTTCCCAAAAGAGTGTTTCATGAGATAGTCTGAGAGATTCTAAGCTTGTGAAAAATTCTGAGAGATTCCTGGAAGAGTAAGAGTCACTGTAGATATTTATTATGAGGTTGGAGTCATATTACCTACCACTCTCTCCTAAGTTCCTTCCTCATCCCTTTACGTAAATAGCTACAGATCATTCCTGAACCTAGGAATGGAGAAAATGGGAAAACCTAAGAAGAATCTGGAGAAGGAAGGCTCGCCCAGCTAAGGCTCCATTTTCCTGTCGGAGGTACTTGGCACTGCACATGGACTCAGTTTCTCCATCCTGGCTCTAAGGAGGATCCAGTCTCTCTCCATTAGCTCATGGCTGCAGCTTCCCACAAGGAAGATTCTAACAAAATCCTGTGGGTTTTTTTCACTGTTCTGCATAAATGTTTATATTATATAGCATTATTTATTTTTAAAACAAGATTAAGCAGTGACACAAATGCTAATTAAGGTAATATTTTAAGTTGCACAAGGGCGTAAATTTTTTGCATATGTGAATGAGTCCAAATGCCACCAATATTTTCAGGATACGCTAGAAGTCTGTATAAAATCACTGGGTCAAAAGTAACGCTGACATTCCATAACTGCTAGTGATAAGGGCTGCCGCAAGGACCGGCAGCGAGCGCAGCTTACAGCTCACCTCTTTCACTGGCGTCATCTACTAGGACAATTTCTTGTAGCACGTGTCTTGGTGAGCGGCTAACGACACTGTGGACGGTTCGCAGAAGTGTGCTCCAAGCCTCATTGTGGAAAACAATCACCACACTTGTTGTAGGGAGACTATCTGGATACACCTTTGTCTTACACCTGGAGACAAAGCAAATGCCTTTATCAGAAGTGACTGTTAGCACAGCAAAGTCGATGCATCTGGAGTAGAAGGGGCAAGAGAACAAAGACAATTGGCTCTACTGGTGGAACTCTTGGTAACTGTTCATTTATTGAAGTTTTGGTTAATGTTGCAGGTTTAATAAATAGTACCTATTTAAAGTTGTATATTTAGATTTAGACATGTTTACATTTAAATTATCTTAAAGATGTCAACTGTATTCTTAAAATTAGGCACCTCTTCCTGATCAATGTTTTCTGTTGATTCACTTTAATGGACAATGTACTAAGACTACATCATCAGTCTGAAGCTGAATGTTTCAAGAATCCAATTAGACAAAAAAATCAGAACTACTAAAAGTCTATGCAGTTTAATAATCTAAACAAAAAAAAATACCTTCCACAAAAGAAGAGAAATAATATTTACTGAGTATCTATTTTGTATTAGGCACAGAAGCTTCCTAATAATTCTGTGAGGTACCTGGAGCCATATTTCACAGAGAAACTGAGGACAGACACAATGAGGGAGTGGCAGAGCCTGGCTGGGGACTCCACAGTCCATGCTCTGTTGAACAAATGCTTAATGCTGCTTCCTCCACAGTGAAATACCAACATGCATCTTGTGTAGTAAAAACTACATCTGAAATGCAACCATCAAAAAGACCAAACACACCCAAAATATATGCACACAAAATCAATGTATTAGTTGTATGTTTCCAGCGCTTTGTTAGGCAACACGGTCTCTCTTCCTCCAGCCTCGTTAATGGATGAAACTACCACAGAGCTGAGGACAGTAACAGCAGTAAGCAACCAGACATCAGGGGATGTGGTTCAGAACACAGCACTCCTAAAACATGTACATGAAATTCTTTCATAGGTATCTTCAAATGGCAACTGTTGGCTCCAGGCCTCTCTTTCCACCTTATTTCCAGCTCTCACAAGCTCCTCAAACCTTGTGGTCTCTCCAGTGTCATGTGTTATACCTGCCAGTGGGAGTGGAGACAGGGAAGAAGGGGAAAAAAACAAGAAAAATGCCAACGAACCCCTCTTCAGAACTGGCCATGATGACCTAGCTACTGAAAGTGCTGCCCTAGGGCTGCTGGCTGGCAGCTGGAAAAAACGGGCAATGGGAGGGAAAAAGACATGACAAGGGACAGGGGCTGAAAGGAGGAGAAACAGAAGGTGAAGGAGAGTTCACTGTGGGCCCATCAACAACAGTCCCCCCTCTCTCCAAGGAGGAAAGGAGAAACAAATAGCTTCCATTGTCCTTCATTATATCCCTCTTCAGCCCCTACCACCGTCTTGACCATTCCCCAGGCCCCTTCACAGCGTGCTCTCTAGCTCCTACTACTAACAACCCGACTCCTAGTCACTGGCCCACAGCCTCCTTTCCACATCCCAGTCCATGCCCCTCACCCTGGGTTCACTCCAAGCCCCACCAGGAGGCCACCGCACAGCCTGCCGCCCTGTCTACAGCTCCCTTCCTCCAAGTCTGGGCCGCAGAGGTGAGGCCCAGAAGACCAGGTGCTTAGGCTCTGGGAAGGATAATGTGCCCTTAGCATTCCAAGTAGTACTTCTGAGAACAGCTTCCCATCAAAACTGTTATGTTATAAACAGTGGCTAGATTATACATTTATACTCAGTACTATGCTTCAGGTACATCATGTTTCATGTTTTCATCCTGAATGCCTGACTCACAGACTACTGGCCCAGGACTGTGAAATCAGGAATGGGCCTGTATATGGGTAAAGGGGTTCAGAAAAAGAGTTTTAATATTATTTAACTGAAGCGTACTAAGTCATATATGATTTCTTTTCCCAAATTAATCCTACTCATTACTGTAGGAGAACTGGGAAGCAGAAAACAGCCAAAGTGACTACAAAGCTGCTGGCTTACCAAACGAAAGAACAAATTGAGTGAAACACAGAAGATGATTAGGCAAAATGTGCAGTGTATAAACAGTACTGGTAGCCATGTGCACGGCTAGCAAGTGGACAGGAAGAAGAGAAAATTCTGAGAACAGATTCTGTAGAAGAAAAGTAATAAGCCAGATTTATTTCTTGGAAGATACAGGAAAGAATTCAATTCTGAAACTATATGGAAAGGAAGACCATAAAGACAGTAAGAACACTAGAAATAGAGACTAAAATGGAAATCATTCACAGGAGGATGGAAGAATCACAAAGCAAAGCATGTATTAGGATCCAGACAAAAAGGAAATGATTTCCTAAATCAAACAGTTAAATTTAATCATTCAGAGAACACAGCAAATTCATAAATATTCTCTCAAAATAACATAGGAAATATAGAGAAAGTATGAGAAAGTCAACATAACTGATCTCAGAACAGGTAAACCCCACCCCAACCTGGGAAATACACAAGGCACTCAAGGAGAACCTTCTAGTTAAGCTACTCCCATGGAGGGAGCACCTGTCCCCATGGAGGTAGAAGTGGGGGATCCTTCTGGGAGTGGGTGACACAGAGCTGATGGTGAGCAGGAAGGCCATGTAACAGCTGTGTTACCAAGCAGCTTTTTTCCACCCTGTCCCAACTGAGTCTTTCATCCTGAGAAATGAAAATTAGCCAGTGTAGGGTTGTGCTACTTTAAAAAAAAAGTTACACATGTTTAACAACAGGGTGTGGGTTGGGGAAAGAAGGAAAAGAAGAGGCTTAACTTTTTACTGAAATTATAATATACATACAAAAAAGCGGACAGATCGTTAAGTATGCAACTGAATGAATTTCCACCAAGTGAATGCATCAAGTAGTCAGCACCCAGATGAAGAAAGAGACTGTGACCTACACCCCAGAGGTTTCTTTTGTGTCCCCTCCCAAAGTAACCAATATGCCGGACCTTTAGCATTACAGATGAGTTCTGCCCTTTTTTTTTTGAACTTTATTTAAAGGGAATAATATAGAGCAGTATATTATTCTCAAACTTTGTGGCTCATAACCCCTTCATGTGTTTAAAAACTGATTATCTCAAAGTGCTTTTATATAGAGTATAGCTGTTGGTATTTACATTATAAACTAAAATTTTAAAACATAAAGAATCTACAAACACATATTATGCTCTTAGAGAGCTGATCCATCACTATCACAGAGTGTGTCCATTATGGATTTATTGCATCTTAAGCTCCAAATACACCCTCCACTGCCTGCTCTGTGGTGATGGAACCGGCTCCTGTAAGCATTTCTTCTTGCGGCTGGCAAGAGGCATACGTAAGCTTTGTCCGGCACGCACACAGAGAGTGTTGGAGGGGCACTGTGCGAAGTAGGAACTTCCCTTCCTGGTTCCAGCACGCCTCCACTTTTCTTCTCCTTCCTACTCTGGTGCTGCCAGCAGAGTGTGTGGTGGACACCCAGATGCATTACTCTACTGAGTTTCAGCAGCACCCACACTCTCAGGCAGATTCTCAGTAAGTCTCCCAGGTCCATCAGCAGCTGGCTTCCCAGTTTTGGCTTTCTGCACCCCAGAAGGGTGGTTCCTGTTTGCCAGTTCTGGCTCTGATTTCCTGCCCAAATGCATTTCAAGTATATTTCCTGCTTATAAGGCCTGCCTACCAGCCCTCACTCTGGAGGGTACTGTGTGTCAGGTCCCACCAAGGGTAACCGCCATCCAGTGAGCAGCAATCACAACTTCTCCAATGAGGTCAGAACTCCAGCATTAGGAAGCGGGCTCCCTTTCAACGTTTTTCATTCCTTTGTACTCTCAACCCTAGGATATACTATATGACTGTCTTTATCTCCTTACAGTTAACCCCATTATAGTTAATAATTATATTAAGCTTTTTCTGTTCAAATTATGTGATTTCTGTTTCCCTGCTAGACCCTGATCCATACAGTTTCTCAAACTCCATGGTGCGCTAGTTGAAGAATAAGAGCAAAAGGGGCAAATAAATGTCTTCGTATCATTATGAAAACTTTTTGACCTTGCAGGCTCCCTGAAAGGATCTGAAGGACCTCCAAAAGTCCCAGGACCACACTTTAAGAACTACTGATATAGAGCATATTCTTTTGTGTCTCAATTCTTTCCTTCAACATTGCTTGAGTATCATCCATGTTGTATGGGCAAGTTTATTTTTACTGCTGCATAGTATTCCTTTAAAGGAATATATATGTGTATGTGTAATATATATATATAAACACACACATACCTACATCATAGTTTCTTTCCTATTCGAATATTTACAGACATTAGGATACTTTCCAGTCTAGGCTACTATAAACAGTGCTGTGAAAACCACTCATGTATATGTCTTTTGGTGACTACATGTATGCATTTTTGTATTATTGGGCAATAGGGTATATATAGGCTCAGCTTTAGTAGATACCAAGAAATGGTTTTCTAAAGAGGATGTAGTAATTTCCACTCTCACCAGCAGTGTGTCATAGTTTCAGTTGTTCCACATGCCTACCAACAGCATCATTTTTTTGAAGGTGGTAATAAGTTCTCTGAGTTCTAACAAATGCATAGCTTCATAAAACCACCACCACTTTCAGGAAACAGAACCATTCCACCTCCAAAGAACCCCTTTTGTTATCCTTTTATAGTCTCACCCTCCCCTACACGTAACCCCAGCAACCAATATCTGTTCTCCATTACTATAGTTTTGTCTTTTCACAAATATCCTATAAATGGAATTATACAGCATGTAATCTTGGAGACTGGTTTCTTTCACTCAGCATGTCTCTGAGATTCACTGAAGTCCTATGTATCAAAAGTTTGTTATTTTTTATGAAGAGTAAATCAGAAATCCATTCTGATCTATCAGTGTTTTCATTCACCAGCTGCTTCCAGTTTGGGGCTATTATGAAGAGAGTTGCTATACACGTTCAGGTACTGATTTTTATGTGAACATGTTTTCATTTCTTTAGGGTAAATATCCAGGGATGGGCTGCTGGGTTACATGGTAAGTATAAGTTTGTAAGTGTAATTTTTAAGCTGCCAAATTGTTTTTCAGAGACTATCATTTTGCATT